CACAGGGAGGATGATCATCAGCACTTCCTCACCCACAGGATCTCATCCCTCCAGGGGACACTTATGCAGTCTCACATCAGCTGAGCATCACTGGCAGCTACAAGGCTTGTAGCAGCCTCCAGAGGCTGCTCGTTATCCACCACACCAGCCCAGCACTGGGAGGCCCTTTCCCACCACTGAGCATTTGGGGTTGAATCTCATCATGCAGTCCCAAGCAGAGGTTTGTTGCACCAACACAGCAGAAAGGAGGAACCAGCCACAACAACAGCAATTTCAGCCTTAATTAGGAAGAAGTTGTGGTGGCTGGAGGGTTTTTTGCTTTTTCCACTTCCAGGAGCTGACTTTTGCCTGAAGTTATCTCAATAAACATGGCTAATAATTGGGGCTCTGTCTGTTCCCTACAACCCTGCCCAGCTGCTGGCAGCATTTAGAAACATCTCGTATTTCTTAGCCAGAGCTGCAGCCTTAGCCTGGGGTGTCAGTTCAGCACTCAGCACTGAATAATTCTGTGTGGTCCCAGTGATTAATCATCTCGTTAAATCATGCAGGAGAGGCTGGGTGCAGGAAACCTCTAACTAGCCAGCTAATAGAGGCAGTTGCTGGATGCACAGCCCAAGAGCAACACTGGTTTCTTGAGATTTCTTTATGCTGGAAAAAGGACTTTTTCCAAAGCACTCCAAAGGGCAAGGAGCAGAGACCCCAAGCTGTCATAGTCATAGAATGTGCTGAGTTGGAAGGGACCCACCAGGATCATTGAGTCCAACTCCTGTCCTTGTGTAGGGCACCCCAAGAATCACCCTGTGTGCCTGAGAGCATCATCCAAAGGCTTCCTGAGCTCAGGCATGTTGGTGCTGTGACCACTGCCCTGGGGAGCCAGTTCCAGTGCCCAACCACCCTCTGGGTGAAAAACCTTTTCCTGATAATCCTGCCTAAACCTCTCCTGATTCAGCTTCCTGCCATTTCCCCATGTCCTGTCACCGGTCACAGGAGTCAAGAGATCAGGACCTGCCCCATCTCTTCCCCTGCTGAGGAGCCACTAACTGCAATGAGCTCACCCCTCAGCCTCCTCTTCTCCAGGCTGAACAATCCCAGTGACCTCAGCTGCTTCTCATAAGTCATCCCTTCCAGACCCTTCACCATCCTCGTGGCTCTCCTCTGGACACTCTTCAGTAGCTTGACGTCCTTTTGATACCATGGTGCCCAAGCCTGCAGGCAGAGCTGCAGGTGAGGCTGCACCAGAGCAGGACAATCTCGCTGTGCCCGGGGCAGGGTTGGCCCTCCCGGTGCCAGGACACACTGCTGGCTCCTCTGCAGTTTGCCAGGTTTGAATCCTGACTCATCCAAGCAGCTCTGGAGATCAGATTCATGCCTGGCTAAGGCTAGTTTAAAAATATTCGGCAGGCTCTGTGTTCTGACAGAAAATCAGGAGTTTGGTGGGAAGAAGCTTCTCCTGGTTTCTTTGGAAAGTTTTGCAGTGAAGAACAGTTCTCCAGCAGAGGCCCTGAGTGCATTGAGAGGAACAGGAGACCTTGTGCTGGGGCCTTTCATCTCCCACCCCAGAAGGTCTCAGCGCAGTGTCCACTTGGGAATGATCTCTCTGGGCTCCCACCTCATAAGCAGCTGCACCTCATCCATCTCTGTTCCTACTCTGGTGGGGTTGAGCCATCATGGATCTTCTCTTTATTTTTAAACTCGTCAGGCATGTAAAGGTTAACTTCATCTTCTTTGCTATCAGGAGTAACCTCCCCTCACCACAACCCCTGTTTATATTCCCAAGTTAATCAGAAAAGCTGGTGCTTCTAGAACTACCTGATTAAAAATTAGGAGGCTGGATTCTGTAGTGGTGCCTTATAATAACAACAACCAACCTGGGGAGCACAGTGGATGAATAATGGATCATGGCTCTATGCTACCAGCTTCTTTTCTCCCCTTCTTTCTTCTTCTCTTTTTATCTTTCAGTCTTCTCTTCCTCCTCCTCCTTTCCCAGGCTGGAGTTTGAGGAAGGAATATGTCTACCTTCATTTTGCTGAAGTTAAAGCCATTGAGGGACATCACTGATCCCTACTCATCAGACCCTCTCCTCCCCAGCCAGATCCCCTGACTAGTGAGCCTGTAGACCATCAATAATTCATGGCTACTGGAGCAACTCAGGGCTGGTAACCACTTACTTGGACAGACACAATCAGGACCCATTCTGTTTCCTCCTCTTCTTCTCATCTCCTTAAGCAGCTCCCCAAGTCTTGCTGCTAATCCAACAGAGGAGCAAAACAGGAGGTTAGAAAACAAGGTTTTTCTGGCACAGGGAAGACAAGTGATTCCATGCATGAGGTTGTCCCACTTCCCTCAGATTTCATGGACAGTTAAGGGCCAGTCTGGACTGCTTTGAGGGGGTGATGTTAAACCAGTGACTGCAAAAAAACAAAAGCCTTCAGATGCCAGCCAGTGGGACAGGACAGCAGTCAGGAATATTAAACAACCCGCTGTAGAAGTCTCTTCATTTAATTCCAAGGTGCTCTTCAGAGAAAGGCTTGTGGGTTGGGTTTTTTTTCCCTGCTCAATGAGATGAATTTCCAATAGTTTACAAGCTGAGGTCAAATTCAATTAAGAGCTTCAGTGAGGGGGAAAAAAACTATTGAAAAACATAATTTGTTTTTTTTAAACAGCATAAACTCATCCAATGAAAGA